GGTCAATCAGTGGGTTGAGGCGGCCACCAATGGTCATATAAACAACTTTTTGTCCAGTCTTCCACCCAGCGTTGTCTTGATGCTGATAAATGCTGTTCATTTTAAAGGTAAGCCACTTGACTGGTTGTCAGATATCTAGCAAAGAACTCACAAAGAAATACATATTAGATAACTGACAATAGTAACTGACACTGTTATGAATTTAAACAAATATGTGAAACAACTGGCAAATCAAGACAACATCACAGTGTGCTAAATATATCCACAATTTACATGATTTTGATCTTATAGTCCTTCTAAGTCCTTGTCATGTCAAAAAGGGCTGCAAAAGCACATGAGGCAACATGACTTATTGATTTTATTGATTTAATGTCCACTAACTTCTGTAAAGTAAATGTACTGGTCAACACAAATTTGTACCTTTGCAAATCTATACCTATACCTTAACAATGTAGAAGTGAGCCCTTATGTCTTGCCCTTAGGGGAGTGGACATCCCGCTTTGACTCACGCTATACTGCCAAGGATCTCTTCTACATTGACAAACAAACTGCTGTAAAAGTGGACATGATGACAGGATCCAAATATCCACTCAGCATGTTTGTGGATGTAGAGCAAGGCACAAAGGTAGTTTTGCTTTATTTGATTAATCTTAAGCTCTGTGACTTCATTCCTCTTACTGTTTAATGAGCATCGTCTATCGAATGCATTTGATTTGTTGACACATCTGTGTTCAAAGCTTTTGTATCTTATACGTATTTTTGCATGTTCATTGCATCTGATGGATTATGCTGCACTTCCATCTCCTGTAAAGGTTGCACGGTTCCCTTTCAAAGAAAATACAAGCTTTCTGGTGGTCATGCCCACGCCATCACAGAATCTTTCAAGAGCAGCTGCTAATCTCAACATCACAGACCTGTATGAACGTCTTCCAAGTGAGACAACCATGCTTGTCAAACTGCCAAAGATCAAACTTGAATATAAACAGGATTTGCAATCAGCACTCACAAAGATGGGTAAGAGACTTTATCTAGAGCCTCATAGAGATTTTTCCTTTGATACATTTTTGAATTTTTAAGCCAGCATCTCTTTAAAAAGGTCATGCTCTTGTGAAACTTCAAAAAAAAGCTTCTTCACACTCACATGACACTCACATCACATTACAAGCTAACCGACAAATAATATACGTTTCTCCATGCAATCTGATATTCAATCTGTCGTTGCCCTTCTTGCTCAGGTCTGGGGTCTCTGTTCTCTGGGCCAGACCTGTCTGGCATTGCAGTGGGCCCATTAGTAGTCTCTGGTGTGCAGCATGCCTCCAACATAGAGCTGAATGAGGAGGGCGCAGAGGCCTCGGCGACTACCTCTGTCATATTGGTGCGCACAGTCCCCACTTTCGCGGTCAACATGCCCTTCATCTTTGCCATCGTGGATGACGTCTCCCACATGCCTCTCTTCGTTGGCACAGTCACCAACCCAAATCCTGGAGCAACTGTCGAGCTAAGTGACGACCCAGAGATCATGAGGCCATCAAGCAGCAATATACCAACTGATGCACCACAAGGTGATGACCCTTACTGGGATAACATGCTCCATGATGCGTCGGATGAATGTGAGGAGACAGAGCGACTCCTCAAACATTAGAAAGTGGGGGAACACAGCCTAAGAGCAGCACAGAGAAGCATGGACCTGTCCATCACACACTGTGCCTACACCTGACATGCATATGGTAAAGTCAGTTGTAAAGGAATCCACAAGGCTTGGAGTTAAAAATAACTACATATTCAAGCCTTCTGATGACTTTATGCTAGTGCAGTTTTATACAATGGACATTCTATGGACATGAACACACCAGCATTTGCAAAGAGATTACCCTATACCCTATAATTTTTCATTTTGGCACAGTACTTTTTTTCTGTCAACCTGAATTTTTTGAGGTGGTCAACTTTTTTCTCCCTTAAAATGGTCAGAAAGTGTACTAAATTGTGGCAATTAAAATGTAATGTTTAAATAAATGTGTGGAACATGTTATTTTGTGATTAGTGCATCTATGACTTCATGTAATACACATTCACTTGTGCCAACCAGCCCCAAAAAGGGGTTAGCTGATACGTTAGGGGGATTATTGGCAAATTGATGAAAGATCCAACACAAACACACTCTATCAATGAAATCACAAATTCACAAATTATCGTAACGTGGTGCAGGAGCTAGTGGAAGTGGAGATGGGAATATGAGTGATATGATAACAATTAGATCTCACAAAACCTTGTTATACAGCATCACATTACAAATCCAAAGATATCTACCTGTATATGATCATTGTGGTCTGCTCACTGCTGCCCGGGCTTTAGGAGTATCACACCTTGTAATAATGCAGAAGGACTCACCAGTGACGTTCACTGCTCGAAAAGAAAAGATGCAGGACAACCTTTCATCTGCGCAAACTTGTCCACCAATCCATTAATGAATTCAGGTGATAGCATAGCAAGGCTGCAGGCAAGGAAAGCAGAAGAGTGTTTTTAGCTACACTTGCAGTTAGCCATGTTTTTCCCTTGAACCTCTCTGGATTGAAGGAGCAGTTTTGGTCCTTTCCAGACTAAATGATGTTGAAATCCACACTGAGCATGCATTGATTGTTTTTAACTGCTCACTTGGTTACGAACGCTAAGGTGTCATCCCCCCTGCGCTCATCAAATGAAGACTACTAGGAGAAATAGGTAGCCTACTGGCATTTACACAACAGGTACAGGAAGATACTAATGTAGCGATGCCACTGTTCTGCAGTTTTCTGATTATTCAAATAGTTGTCTCCGATTTTCGTAGATTGGAGTAAGGTCTAGAAATCCGATTAAGAAATCTGATAAAGAGAGCTGGATTTTAGCTCAGTAATCAGATTTCTCAGTGCATGTGTACTTTTATCCAGATTTCTTTCAGATTTCTCGGTCTGCGCATGTGCGAAACAGACCACAGTTCCCGGAAATAAGCAAGCAGCGCTTACTTCACGTCTTCTTCTGTGAGTTTATTGGCCAGATGCAAAGCAGAAATCTGATTACTGCCTGACTCATGTAGACCCGGGGCTTCACATTATCTGATTGTCTGCGGATTATTAAGTGCATGTAAACGCATTCACTTAAATAATCAATTAAATGTTAGGAATGTTTCATTTTTATTATAATTGTCTTGTAATTGGGTAAAAACAACATGAGCATGAATTGGCTTGTAAATGCAAAAACATGAACGATAATAGTAAAAATAAAACCACCACTTTACCTATCCAAATATATGTTTTAAATTTCTTTTATTAATCTATATTAAAACATCACACTTTATTATGAATAATGTTCCAATGACCAATAAATGACTGATATATTTCACCATATTTCTCTCCTCTTGATATAAACTGGACAGTCCTAATCTTGGGTAACGCTTGTGTAATCATTCCCCTAACCAATCACTGGACTGCGTTTCTTGCCCTGCCCACACGAAACCGTTTCAGAGTCAGAGAAACTTAGCAAGCTAAAGCTAATCCAGCATAACCAAAAGCTAGTGAGCTAGACCACTTGTCTCTAGCTGCTTCCCCCCATTCATACGTTTCTCCACACACATTGTTCGTCCGTCCATTCCTTCATTCACGTGTTGCTTCGTCTGTCGGGTTTTTTTCCGGCCTTTCTTCTGCACCTCTGTTTGTCCGTTCCTTGGCGCGTTGCTTTATCGATCCAATTGTTCGTTTGTCTGTCCATCTGTCTGCACATCTGTGACCTGTCAATCAAGCTGCTCATTAGCCCCGCCCACACAGTTCTCCGATAGATCTTATCAGTGGTTTTAAGCCGTATTTGTATCATATTTATATCTTATTTTTTTAAATTCCAGCTTTGCTGGATGTTTAATATAACACTCATGTTCAACATTATACAAACATTTTTAATATTTTACTGATATGTTCCCCGAGACTTCAACAGACTTTAACGTTCAGAGCTCTTGACAAGAGGGCTATTTTTTTCCTGTTACATTTTTGTGAGATTTATCCCTACTGACCCAGAAATGAACACTGCTGACAGACCCCTGTGCTAACCCACCCTGTTTTTCATAATAGAAAGAGAAGAACACCTAACAAGTTTTCTGAGTGCATCGAGTTCTTTTGCATTACGGACCTTGTGGTTTGTTTTAGACAAATGTAACTTCTATTTAAGTCCTCATTTCACTAAAGTAAGAAAATATTTACTGGTTTTAACCTATTTTACTCACCTCAGATCCAACAATAACAGCTATAGCTTTCTCGTTTCCAGCGCACCTGAGCACATTGGGTAAAAACTGAATTCAACAGCGAGCGACAGTAGGCTGTACTAGTGCTGGGAGTCGATCGCAAAAAGATTCAACTCTCAGATTTCAGGTATTTTGGGAATCGTGAGTCGACTCCAAAGCTTTGATTCCACACAGATTCCACACAAAGAGGTTCGAGTCTTCCCGCATCTGCGCGCGCACACTACTGTGACTGAAAGAGACTCTGCTTAGACAGCCTGCCTGAAAAAGCGACCTTTCACAAAACATTCATCAGTAGATTCACAGTGTTTTAATTTGGTCATAGTGGAAAACAAAGTAAAATGTAACCAAACGTGGCTTTTAATCCAGTTTGCCAGCGCAGAAACATCAACCCACCCAAAGTTGACGGAGGAAAATCAGGTAGTTTAGCCTAGACCCTGATAGCTAACAGCTAAGCTAATTTGGCTAGCTTTAGCCCTCCAAATGAAATAGGTCCTATAATAAGCTGATATAAGGCGTCCCCGAAAAACAGCTGAGGATGTGGTATCAACTGTAGCCCACTTTCTATTTTGCTGTATCTCCTTCTCTATGTCTACGTCTTGATTTCTGTAATTGAGAATCGATTATTATGCGGAATCCACTTCTTTTGTTGGAATCGGAGTCGGAGTCGACTCCCCAGTGTCTGGAATCGAACAGCCATACTGTTTACCTCAGCAGAGGCTCGTTTCACACCGAGCCCTCGGAGCAGCAGACCACCTTCTCAGCGTCAGCAGACTGAGGGCGGGTCTGAACGGCTGGAAAAGTTGTGTATGTGTGAAGTTGGCGTGGAGAGCGGTGCCACGGAGGAGCAGTGAAGACCTAGCAGAAAACAGGTTAGTCTATTAAACAGTACAAATACAAGTTAGTTGTCCTTTATACACTGAAACCGCTATGTCTTTGCTTGACGTTTGAACTGAAACCGTTTTGTGGAACTAAAAAGCAGTTGCGGTTCATCTTCTGTATTTTGTCACTGGAATGTAACAGTGCACTGCTTAAATGCTCTAGTCGTACTGTGTTTATTTGATCTTCTGCTGTACGTGAAACGAGAGCACTTTTGCTGGTTCACTAATTAAATAAGTACAATGTGATATGATAAACCTACTGCATGACTTGATGAGCCATTAAAAAACTTTCTGTAAACGGGAAAAATGGAGCTACATTACAAATGCAACGAATGCACGAGTGAGGTGGCCACAGACTTGTGTTTGTAACATGGATCTAGAGGTGTCAAAGCTTCAAACTGATTTATACAACCATTGCTCTGTACTTACAGTTTAGAGGGAGCACAGACCTGAAAATGACACCCTACTTGTAGATGCTTATTTTCTTCAAGTGAAGTGATTCCATTAAAATAGCTGATTTTCGTAGTTTTAAGGAGAAGAACAGATCAAGTCAGGTATCGGTATCAGAAAAAATGTTGTGTCGTGCCATCTCTGCCACGTACCTCTTAATTCTTTAAGATATCACTTTTCAGGGACCCATTTTGCCTTGAACTGCAATCATATCTCATTATGGTGGAGCCAAATTGTAGGAATTTCCAAACAGTAGCCACGTCTGTGGATTCTTGCTTTCAGATCTGTTCCTGTGCCAATGAATTTTCAAAGTGGAACATGTTGCCAACTGTTTCCTTTGGAAAATTCAGTGGCAGTAATACCTGACATCCTGATAGTGAAGTTATTCTGGCGGTGAAGGAACGGGTGAGGGTTAATGAATGAGTTGGGGAGACTTAGAGTCAGATGTGGTTTCTGCTTAAATGATGGACGTTCTCCACTCTCACAGTAGGAAACTTAGACAACCTCAATGACAACCAGATGTTCTGCACAAAGAAAAGGAGTGAGAGAGTTCTGCTGAAAAATGCTGTAGGGAATCCACCTTGAAGTATATCTTTAGCTAAATTACATCAAAGCTTTTGTAAAGGCCATGCTGCGCCCTTTCCAAAATATTCGGTAGTGAGTCAGATTTTTTGGCACTCAAAAAGCAAACCTCAGACATCAAGTTCAACTTTTCCAAGTATAATTTCACTCTAAATTGGCCTCATCTGACTCACATAACGTGCACTGGCCTGCTTGTGAATTGTACTTGTCTGGTTCTGCCCAAGCAAGCGAGATCACAGATCACACAATGTTCTGATTCCAAATGCAGTTCACTGAAGCTGGAGGTGCTGAAACTGGCAAGCTGTGTTTTTATTGTAGACACTTATTGGGATGCACACAGAACATTGCATTATCTCATGAGTGTTTCTGTATATTATGTGTAGCATCTCTTTACAGCTCCATGATGAAGAGGATAGCCTTGCTGCTGTGTCTTTGGGGTCTTCTCTCCATCTCCAGTGCTCAGGAGGTAAGTCCACCCTGTAACCTCCAGATCCTGCCCCCAGATATTGGCAGATATGCACATGAAAAACATCAGAATAGCGGCCCACAATTTCCAAATCAGTGCATCCCTAACTTCAGTACACTAACTTTTGATTTTTTCAGTTCTTCATTTGAATAGACTAACACCATGTTGCCATTCTCTCTATTATTTGGTAAAGGGACCTTATTCTTCTAGAAACAGTCAATGTAAGGTATAACTCATTGTAAATTTCTTTTAAGCACAGTGTAATCAATGTTAAAATATATTGGCAGTCCTTGTCTTAATCTTACCCTCCCCTCACCTGTTGCAAGAGCCCATTTTTTTAATTATTTAGTTATTTATTTTAACATTTGAGAAGTTTGTAATGATAAACAGACTGCATTTGAATGTGAAAGCCAAATATATTAGACTGTAACCATCTGAACCATCAAAGTCAAAATTCTGGTTTTGTGATGACCCTAGCAGTGACCCTGTGACTCCTCTCACAGACAGATGCAGAAGAGGGTGGCGGTGAGGAGGAGGTAGTTGACCTCTTCACCACCCCGCGCACAAAGCTGGCCGCTGCAATGTCTGACTTCGGCTACAACCTGTTCCGTCAGCTGGCTGCCCGCGACCCCAAGGCCAGCGTCCTCTTGTCCCCAGTGAGCATCTCTGCAGCATTCACACAGCTCTCCATGGGTAAGCCTCGCCTTTTAGAACTGTAGGTCTGACTAAACAAGCCAAAAAAGCGTCACTCTTGCCAGAGTGTCAAGAGTTGCCTGAAATTACAATTAAAAGTCATAGTAAGTATTACATTTACATGATTTCAGATTAGGTGTTTGATTGACATCAATGCACACACACACACACACACACACACACACACACACTGAATAATATGGATTTGCTTTTGGTGCAGGGCCATGCATTTAGCTACCATTACTTCTCTTGAGCTAGCGTATAGTCATTTGCAAAAGTTTAGGCACATCTGGTAAAATTACATGTTTAGTTGAAGTGATAATAAGTACGTTAACACATCCTCTACAGAGAACACACTTTTTAATGAACAATTACTGATTATTTGCTGGATTGAACATATTGGGGAAAAAATTAAACAGAAAATGTGGCCTGTATAAAAGTTTATATTTTATGGGTTTTTTTTCAAAGTGTTAAAACTATAATAGAAATAGAAATAAATAGAAATACCTTATTTAAGTTCCCTGTAGAGGACTCGTTTCCTTGTTCTCACTTAGAAAATAAACAAAACATGTAATTAGCCAGGGGTGTTCAAACTTTTGCTTATGACTGTGCACAGAGACATCAATATATGTGTCAGTTACTTTGAAGAGTGTTTTTTTTAAATTGTCACTGCAAAGCTTGCAGTGGCTAACCTATGCTTTGCTTCAGGTTACATAGTTTATACCAGATATAATACCGGATACTGGACATACTGTATGTGGACACTTTCGTTGTTGTGTTGTTTCAGGAGCTTCAGAGCGCGCAGAGAAGCAGCTGCAACGGGTCTTGCGCTACCACAACCTGCGTGACATCCAGCTCCATGACACTCTCAGAGACCTGCTGACCTCTCTAAGAGCCTCCGCCAAGGGCTTCAGCTCTGTAGAGCGCCTCTTACTGGCCAGGAGTGAGTGTACTTGAAAAATTATAGTTCTGAGAAGACCACTACTGATGGATGTAAAAAGTTGTAAAGGTTAAGAATATATCTGTCCATGCAATTATTTGATCTAATTATGGTTCTTTACGAAACAGTTCAGTGCCTCATAAATTTCTGATTTAACTTTGATTATTTTGGTAATACTTTTGAGAATTAAATAAAAAGATGCACTGAATACACTAATGTGACTAGAGGAACCATTTACACAGTAGTAAAAGATAGACGATAAGAATATATTTTTGAGGGATTTTTGCATTCAAAAATGGCCTTAGAATATTATTTCGGAAAAAGAAACGTAGTTGAATTATCATTGATGCATAACATTTACACTTCTTGTATTTTTATACCTATTGTGTTATTATTTACATGATACATCATTTATAAATAAGTTATGTTAATGTCATTCATGCACCTTTTTATATTTTACTTTTCTCTGGAGAACTGCGTCTCAAGCTGGAGTACCTGAACGCAGTGGAGAAGCAGTACGGGGAACGCCCCCAAACGCTCATGGGTGGACCCCGGGACCAAAAGTCTGTCAACGATTGGTTCAAACAGCAGACAGGCGGTAAAGTGGACCGTGTCCTTGCAACTCCTCTTCCACGTAACTCTGATGTAGTGCCTGCGGGAGCAGCCTACTTCAAAGGTAGATTGCCTATTAAGTTCACTGATTTACATGGACACATAAAAAACAGCATTTGATTGGTACGTGCCACAGCAAAGGAATCAAGATTCTGAACCAGCAAAACGGAATAAAATTAAACCCAACACACAGTGTCACTGATGCAAATCACTTCTCTTCTCAATCACTAGAAACTATTTGAGTGCTAATAATGCCCCCTTGTGGAGAATATTTAGCTGCTAAACATGAGTGAGTGAGTAACAGGACAAACGAGTGAGTAAGCTAGATAGAAAGAAGGAAAGAAAGAAAGCAGGTATTAAAAACTTAGTGTGAATGTCTAAAATGGAACTCGGTGAAATGTAGATTAATTTTCCTCACAAATATACTTGAGTTTAAGTTAAAGTATTCTTACCTTGTAAATACTCAGAGAAGGACAAATCCATCACATTTCTACTACAGTACATGTAACTGAGTAAATGTGACTGGTTACTACTCTTCTGTGCTAATGATAGAGATCTAATTCTGTCAATGATTGAACTATAAATGTTACTCAGTGCTTTACTGTTTTGTTGAATTAAGATTCATTGTTCAGTGATCTGTTCTCCCCTGTGTCTGCATGGGTTTCCTCCGGGTACTCTGGTTTCCTCCCACAGTCCAAAGACATGCAGTCAGGCCAATTGGACATGCTAAAATTGCCCCTAGGTGTGAGTGTGTGTGTGAATGTGTATGTCTGTCTGTCTGTCTGCCCTGCGATGGACTGGCGACCTGTCCAGGGTGTTTAGATGATGTGTGTGTGTGTGTGTGTGTGTGTGTGTTCACTGATCTTCATTAATGGTGAAGATTTTCAGTGATTTTCTTGTCACATTATGCACCAAAAAAAAAACAAAGATGTTTGAGTAATATCTGAACGTGGTTTGATTGTAGGGAAATGGATAACCAGGTTCAGCCAGGCGGGTAAGATGGATGAGTTCCGGTTGGATGGCGAGGCACCAGCTCGCATTGCAGTAATGCAGCAATCGAATTATCCAGTCAAGATGGGCATTGATTCAGACCTTGGCTGCACGGTATGTTTAATACCATGTGTTCTACAACTTGAGCAAGATGATGATAATGAAGATTACACAAGTTGGAATAGACCAGCAAAACAGTAGAGCCACACTTTAAAAGACTGTAAAAAAAAACTATGAGATAGTGTTGTTGTATCCATAGGGAGGCGAACCATATAGCCTTTACCATATAACGTTCATGCTTAATTTAATATCCCAGTGAAAAGCAAGAGTTTTTCTATTAGCTTTAGACTAACTTTGTTTAACTTTGGCTAGCCTACTGCATGACGTGTCATTGAACAGGAAATATGAAACAGCACAAATTAGGCTAACATTTAATTTGGAACATTTGCTTTTACATCAGCTCCTTGCGGGAGTGTTTTGCACAAGCTGTCAGAGGAAAGTGGCAACAATAGACTTGAAGCTTAAAACTATGCTCCTTGCTGCACATGTCTAATATAAAGGGAGCACACTGCAACACAGAAATGCACCGCATGTGGTGTGGCAGTGGTGTGGATACCGCTTCTGTTCTGCAGTGTGCTTCACTTCACATAGCTGTGCTCTCATAAAATTAAAAAAAAACAAAACAAAAATGGAAATGTACTGTTATGGCAGTGATATGTACAACACCATAGAGTACATATTCAAGTATGATGGTTGAGACAGTTAAAGAAAAGGGTTCGGTTACCACCGACTGTGGGCAGAGGGCTTTGCACTCAACAAAATAAGATGGCATAACTGGCTGGCACCCAGTTAGGTGCTTGCTGCTATGCAGTTTATGCATTTTTTTTGTGTGAATTGTATCATCTGTAGTAAACGTATCATCTGTAGTAAACAGCAGTGCTAGAGTTTTCCTGAGAGTAAGATTTTCTGGTTTATAGACTAGGAAGACCGTTTTCAGATAATGCATGTTGAAAGTGGAAAGAATATTTGGAAAGTTACAATCGCTGTGGAGAGGATACTTTTACATATTAAAATAATACAAATTTACGTGCTTTGCTGAATGAATTAATCTACATTAACAGACCAGCTTACAGTCTGTCTGTCCTACACTCTTCACTGCAGATAGTGCAGGTTCCCATGGAGGATGGAGTGAGCATGTACTTTTTCCTGCCTGATGAGGTGACTCAGAACTTTACTCTGGTTGAGGAGGCTTTGACAGCAGAGTTTGTTCAGGACCTGGCCAACACTCTTCATTCAGTTCATCTGCAGCTCACCCTTCCTGTGCTTAAACTCAGCTACAGCACAGACTTGCTGGGCCTTCTCTCTGGGCTGGGTAAGACAGACAGATGCATTTGGTTTGCTTGTTTCGAATGTGTATATTATTCCTATCTATATAAAAGGAATCTAAAAGACTGTACATATAAGTTAACATAGAATTTGCAAAGACACCCCTCAGTCTGCCATTAGATATATGTATAATGTACATGAAGCGCTGTGATCTTTAAAGATGTTTCAATAGTGAGCCAATAGAAAATAAAAAGAAAAAGGAAAGCATTGGCTCATTTGCTTGTGAGCCAATGATTGTCCTCGTTTGGGGTTAACAAGTAGTGCATGGTTATTAGAAAAGAAAAGAAAAAAATGAAACAAAATGTCTTAAAATGTTAGAATTATGTGAATAAATGAAACGTTAATGGTCACAGCATTTGTTTTTATGAGTGCGTGCATAAAAAATAAGATCACATCTTTTGAAAAGTGTATTAAATTGCAATTAAATTTGTTTTAAATATATTTAGTTGTGCACAAGCACTTTAAAAACATTACACTCAAATTTACATGTAGTTCTACCACTTTGATTGTACAGATGCACGAAAGATCAAACTGATGAATAACAAATCTGTTGATGAAATTAGCTTGTGCTTATCTGTATGTATTCTGAATGTATTTTTTTCCAATGTTCTGTAATGCATATACAACTTAGCAACAGTTGCTATGAAGGAACGCACAACATGGATAGGTCAATTGCATGTAGTTCACTGTGGTTTAACTCTTTCTCCTCACTTTCTCTTTTACAGTATTGTAATGTGTTATTATGCATTACTTTTTGTGTCTTCCTTTTGCATTTTCACTTCAAGGGCTCTCTGAATGGCTGGAGAACACAGACCTCATCAAAATCTCTGCACAGGCTGCGAAGCTGAGCACAGTCCGTCACAAAGTCGTCATGGAGACGGCTCCAGAGGGTAGCCAGTATGCCAGCACCACTCCGACTGGCAGTGTTCAGTCACTGGCCCTTTCTTACCGTGTGGACCGCCCCTTCCTCTTCTTGGTTCGAGATGAGCCATCGGGCACACTTCTCTTAATGGGAAAGATCCTAAACCCACGTGACCTGGCAAGTGTATGAGAGCAGCACACACACATACACACACGTATATATCAATGTTGATATACCACATATGTTATGAGCTTCTGTACTTTAACATTTGATTTAAAGAAGAACATATTCAAAGCTGTCACAGTACAGTTTATGTTTTATCACATTTAAAGTACATGAAAGTGGCCAATTTCATCAAATGTGCACCAAAATTCTTCCAAAGCACATTTGCATTTGCATATATGATGTAAAGAGATTCCACAAACATACATAAACATTCTAATGCAAAAAAACCCTTTTTCTAGGCAAAACAGTGCACTTATTCTACAGTTTTCATTTATTTTAGATCCGTATATGACATTTGTGTGGTTTTATGTACCAAAAACAGTCATAATTTACTTTGGTCACTTTAAGACCAATATGCAATATGTTTTGTCAATTTTCTAAATGAAAATAAGCTACACATCCTCTACAGTTAACAAACTTTCTATTCTGGCATTTTTCTGTTAGTTTTGGTGCACAATTTCTATGTATTTGCTTGGTTTAACATATCTGAAAAAATAGACATAAAATATAAAATGTCGCCATAATTTTTCCAGTATGTTAAATTCAACAATTAAACAAGAATTGTGCATAAAAATGTGCAGAAGTGGGTTCTCTGTGCAGGTTGTGTTCACTTTATTTTCACTTAGAAAATCAACAAAAAATGTTATTTGACCAGGGCGCCCAAACTTTTGCATATGACTGTGTCTAAATGAACTCTCGTTCTGATTGGCTGACCTGTTTTTGCCTCATTTAAAAAGTAGTTCAGTCTAAAACAGTCCTTATAACTTTAACATGAATTTGGTTTTCTGTTCTTCCTGTGATATGGGCCCTTTAAACAAAGACAGGCTTTCATTTCAGATGGAACAGATGAACAGTTAGCTGAAGTAGTATATTTGTCCCATTTTGTTTTCTTTCTGCTATATATGCATTATACTGCATAATACCTCATAAGTGCTCACAGATTTCCCCTCTTTTTGCCATGTTGGCAAACACCCTTCATACCAGAAATCTCAGATTATAAGTGAATTAAAAATGAAGCTTGCAGATTAGAAATATTTGAGCTTTGTATTTCAGTGCTTTGTTTCTAATTTCAAATTTAATGTAATCCCACACATGCTTAAGGCAAACATACAAATTTATTGGTTGACGGTCCCATTTGTATATTTACCAACAGGAATCATCTGAATTTGTATATTGAGACAAATAAAAAATACAAAAAAAGTGTGTGCATGGTGTTTTATGATAATGGCTGTGCATTTTGTGTGGGCATATAAATAACCTGAGGCGAGGCACAAAAACTTTATAGGAGTAGTTCACTTGCTCTTTGTGGTTTCACTGTGACCGCTGCTGCACACATGAATGATGCATCTTACTTACATTGCCTCTGCTGAGGACTGTGAGCTCAGCAAAAAAAGAAAATCAACAGCCCATTTGCCTTTATGACTTTTTGTTTCTGGGTAAGTGAATTATCTGATTTCAGTTTCAAGGTCTTCAAGCTCAGTGTCACTTTTAAACCTTAAACCCTAGACTTATTTAGTTTGCAGTATTAAGCTGTTCACTAACTGCTATAAATTATTTAACAATGCTCTGATACTAATATATAAGTAACAAGAATGAGGAACTGAAATGTGGGTTCATAAATGGGAAGGCGAGGCTTGAACACCGAACACAGCCGAGGGCCATGAATGACAGTGGGAGGAGGATGTCTTCCACCAGAGAGGGGGGAATGACGACGACAGCCATAAGTGGCACAAAGGCAGGACACGAATCCCAAACTCCGCCACCCAGGCCCTGTATCCTCTTCTGTAGCGGGGCCGCTAGACTACACCTTACATTCGATCCAGGCAGCTGAGCTGGGAAGCAAGGGTGGTGGTGGGGAGGCGAAGCAATGAGCTCTTGTTCCCTTTCAGCTTAGGTGCTCATGCTGCCCTTATTGAGAGCCAGCTGATGCTGAACTGGCGTCGGCAGTGTGAGCACCTTTTAAAAAGAGCGGAGATGGAACAGAGAGAGGGAGAAGAGGGACAAGCAGCAGAAAAGACTGAAGAGCCGAAAAGCTTGGTTTTGAGAAAAGGACTAAAAAGGACCGAAAAGGATGCTGGAGGCAGGAGAAACGTCTGCAGCGGCCGTTCTAACTTTGTTTTAAACTTTATTTTCCACTCCAAACAAACAACTCAAACCAAAAGCTGGCCACCTTTCAGTGGCTTCAACGCTAGACTTTTCAGTCCTTTTTAAAAGGTGCTCACGCTGCCCTTAATGAGAGCCAGCTGGTATTGATCTGATCTGATGAGAGCACCTGAGTTGAGAGAGACAGAGAGCTCATTGCTCTGCCTTCCTGTTGCAGCCCCTGCTCCCCAGCTTGGCCGCCTGGATCTACATAAGGTGTAATCCAGTGGCCTTGCTGCGGAACAGGAAGTGGATCCTGGGCAGCGGAGTTCAGGATTCGCGTCTTGCCTTCGTGCCTCTCGTGGCCGTCGTCGTTGCCTTCCCCTCTCTGGTGGCTGACGTCCTCCTGCTGCCGTCCCTCGGTAGTGTTTGGGGTTCAGGCCCCATCTTCTCACTGGCTCTCGCGGTTCTGATCAGGGCGCATGGCACACACACCCACTCACCCAGCCTTTGTACTTTACCATCACAGCTGCAGTTTCACCTATGGATGTCCTTGACTGACAGGACGGTGTAAAACAGTGATGCCATGTCAGATATCGAAAAACATCACATTTTTCTATTATTGACTGATTCAGCTGACTCTTTTTTGTTAAGCTAATTGGACCATATACTGTTCTCACTAGAGTAAGCTGGGCATGTAGCTGAGCTAAAAGGCTCTAATAATATTGCAGCCAGGATTTAAATATCTGTCAGTCTAGAGAGCTGTTATAAAATATAACGATTTATCGCTGTTAGCTTGGTGCTTACATAAGCTAGCAGATATTACCATTATCTGAGCAGGCAAACAGGTAAAGAGCTTCTTACAAAGCTATTTCAAGGTGTTACATTAAACATATCTTTTTAACGACATGCTTAGCTGGCTCTCAGTGTAAATAGCTTAAAAAGTTGGACATGCAGCCAATAAGAGTAGTGGTCATTAAGAAAATGACAAGAAAATGTTGCGCCATTCAAGGACCGAATGAAGATGGTTTTAATTTTATACGCTTTATAGTTGTTGTTTATGCTTTGTCGGCCCCCTTTTACCATGTTCTTCAATGGCCAGGGCCCCCATGGAGCAGGTATTATTGGAGTGTTGGGTCATTCTCAGCACTGCATTAACACTGATGTGATATTTGTGTGTTAGTGTGTGTTGTGCTGATCCGAGTGGATCAGACACAGCAGTGCGGCTGGAGTATTTAAATAGTGTCCACTTACTGTCCACTCTATTGACATACTTACCTTGTTGGTCCACCTTGTGGATGTAAGGTCAGAGACTGTTGCTGCACAGTTTGTGTTGGTCATCCTCTAGTCCTTCATCAGTGGTCACAGGACGCTGTTGGTCGGATATTTTTGGTTGGTGGACTATTCTCAGCCCAGCAGTGACACTGAGGTGTTTAAAACTCCAGCAGCACTGCTGTGTCTGATCCACTCAGACCAGCACAACACACACTAACACACCACCACCATGTCAGTGTCACTGCAGTGCTGAGAATGATCCACCACCAAAATAGTACCTGCTCTGTGGTGGTCCTGTGAGGGGACTAACAAAGTATGCAGAGAAACTACAGTCTGTAATTGTTGAACTACAAACTTCTCCTAAAAGTGTAAATACAAGGAAGTGTACTTACTGAAATGGACAGTCATCGTATATTAAATTTAAAGAAAAAGGAAAATATGAGTCTTTATGAGACTTTATGAGGTTAACTAGAAAAACTAACATTGTCAACCAGATTAAAAGAGAGCTGGTAAGTGTGATTGTTGCTGTGGAAGTGACTTGATTTACATAACTAAATACAAAGTGGACATTTTCAGAATTTGCAAAAATGTGAACAAATGTGAATACTTCAAAATAAAGATCAGAAGTCTTACTTGATGAGTAGTGCTCTCTCCCACACATCTTCTTTACCCGAATACATCTCAAAATGAAAGGCATCAGACCAACTCCTTGCTGAAGCCATTAAGTCTGGCTGACTGGCTCATCGTTTATATAACAGCCATTGAGAACTTCCAGTCGTGTTCTCACAGACATGTATCTCTTGCATCCTGAACGAGAGCCACCTTTGGCAGTGATCATTCAAAGTAAATGCATAGTAGGACCTCTTCCACTCAGGAAGCTGACCAAAGTAAACAATGGTCTTGGAGAAGTAGCCTGTCCTTTTCCAGGCAGGCCTATGACTGTGTTTGTTCTGGGAAGGGTTTCAGGCGCCTCAGGAATCTTTTCCCTGAGCTGGATGGAAAATTCATTACAGGCCTGTGGGTTCAGCAGGGAACAATGAACGCAAGCACTTCAAACTAGCACATCCAGCTGAACTATGAGCTCAAACCACTCTTTCACACGAGTGCTGATTCTGTACTTCATCTGAAAGCTATGTGCCATATTTTTTTTGCATGATAAGTACACTGAAAAATAAAGATGAAAAAAAGGTTCTTTGGAGTGATTCTATCAGAGAACCACATGTTGGCTCCCTAAAGAACCTTTTAATGTATTGTTCTTTAATGAACCGTTTTTGTAAATAAGTTAGGAGTGTGTGAAGAACCTTTTTGTAAGTTTAAAGAGCTTCCACATTGTGTAATAGTTCTACTGCACTCTTAAAATGAAGGTGCTAAAAAGCGTTCTTTTGAGCAATGCTGTGGAAAAACCTTGTTTGATTCCTTGATGAACCTTTTAATAGCTGGTTCTTTAAGGAACCATTTCTATAATGAGTTGGGTGAGTATGAAGAACTTTTTAAACTTTAAAGAACCACAGCATAATGGAACAATCATATATCAATTAAAGGTTTGTCCTAGAACTGTATATTCTAGCTGAGGGTGAAGAGACTTTTTGAAGTTTAAAAAAACCTTTGCGTAACGCACTCTTAAAATAAAAGGGTTAAAATAAAGGGTTTTTTCATTTTTGGTGCCCTAAAGAACCTTTTATTTGGTGGTTCTTTAAAGAATAAACGACTTTGGTGATTTTCAAAGTTTAAAAAACCTCCGTCTAAGGTAATAGTTCTACTGCATTCTTGAAATAAAGGTGCCAAAAAGAGTTCTTTAGAGTGGTGCCAACCACATGTGCTTCCCTAAAGAACCTTTCAAAGATGATTATTTAGAGGACAATTTTCATAAATGAGATGTGTGAATGTGAACCACCTTTTTAAAGTTTAAAGAACTTGTAGGTTCTAGAATGGCCCCTTAAAGTAGCATAGAACCATGACACAATGGGGCGGTTCTTATAAACTTTAAAAGGTTCTTCACACTCACAAATGTCTTTTTCAGACATGATTCTTGAGTGAGATCCTTGTGTGGCATTATTCAAAGAACATTTTGTAGCACCTTGATTTTTAAAAAGTATGTATTTCAATAAAAGGCATTTTCCTAGAACCATAAATCCAAGCCAAGAACCATTTTGCACCCTTTATACTGAAGAATTTCCCAGTGTTAGAGTCTAGAATATAGTTCAGAATATAGTGGTTTGTGTTTTTTCTACTTTTACCATGTTTGTGCCACACTGTCGACCTTTTACAAGTTCCCTCATATTTTTGCTACATTTCGGTGTCTCTGCTCCTTTCTTATTTGGTAAGAATCTGCTGGTTGTGTTTATTCTGTGACTTGGAGTGTGGGCTCTGTTCCGACATAAATCATTTAAAAAAGACAAAAACAGATGTGCGTACAAGGGGTCTCTGAGGTTGCAACAGCACACAGACCTCCCACAATGGACCTGCTCCAATAAGGTCACAGGAGCACGGTGGGAAAGTTACTCAAGCTCACAGTTACTCAAGCTAATGAAAGACTAGTGTTTGATACTTTTTACAGTAGATGTACAATTACAGTTTATTCAGTTATCCAACTAGAACTTCAAGTTAACATACAGTTGCTTTACTTGGCTCCTTCAGAGCAATAAACTGTTATTCTTTTGTCTGACTTCTCTGTCAGTTTTGTGTCCCTACCTCTGAATACATAGACTGTGTAAATATTCGGTCTGATGTGATAAGTAGGAAAAGCAGTAAAGTGAAAGTGAACAGACATAAACCATGGACAAACAAAGTGGGCAGAGATCACTTTCCTTTTAACGTGGTAGGATGTTGACCAATTCCATGTG